TTTTCGGTTCCGTCACCTCTGCAGCCTCGAAATGTGGAATTCAGAGCGAGAGTCCAGATTCACAAACGGTGCCGAATCAGAACTGTTCCAAATACCTTTCAACTCTTAATGCGCAAACTTCTAGAACGCGTCAACTTCCGGTTGCGCGTGGGACGTCAAAACAAAACAAACGGAGTTGCCTCTGTCCTGCCAAAACTTTTGAGAGCTAATGGCTTGGTTTCTTTAGAGCGTAGGTTTCTTGCTAGGCCAAGATGGAAAAGCCAAGCAGAGGTTTGCTTAAGGCATCTGTGGTTCTTAAACTGCCGCCACGAGGTTCGGATGGGTGCTTATATAACCTTTTGGGCACGCCCACCGGTATCTCACTCAAAAACCACTGGAGGGCACTGTGGCCAGGGTCCGAAATTAAATTTTTTACTCACCAGCCAAGTTGGCTGGTAGATGATGAAAATCTACCGGCCAAGCATATTTTTTACCGGCCAAAATTCTAAATGATTTAGATCTACCTAAAGCATGTTATTCTATGCTATGTTGATTCCAAACAGAGTGACAAAATAATTAAAACATCAATTAATAAGAAAAACAACTCTTTTGTCATTTTTACTATTTATTTATTTATTTATTTATTTTTAGAGATGTTTTTATGAACTCTTTCATTGAAATCTAGTCAGACTCCTTGTTTTCTCTGTCCACGAAGTCTGGCCTCCTGCTTCTGACACCGTCTTTGTGCCAAAGCATTTGGGTCATAGTCCTTGATCTCTGGAGAACACAGCTGCACCATGAGTATATCTGAAAGTGTGTCAGGGCTAGGGTTGTCACGGTAACCGGTGTAGCGGTAAACCCCGGTAAAAAAGTTGACAATAATAATAACCGTCTTGTTTTAAAAAAAAAAAAATCTCGGTGGATTCCCGTGGCTGCGGTGTAGGCGCGGTGACCCTTACCAGCCACCGTATCATCTGGAAGTTGCCGGCGGCACATGCGCACTTTGTTGTTTACGACCAAAACTTTCTTTAAGCTAAAGATGAAATAATGGCAGGAGGAGACGGCAGCACTTGGGATATTTATTATCCCTCAAACAAGACAAAGTCGGAAGTATGGGCATTTTTTGGATATTTGAAGAATGCCGAGGGACAATTGTCTGTGAAAGGCAGCAACGCTACGTGGCCATCATAATGTAACCATTGTCTCACGACTCCACCATCTCCGGTTCGCCACTTTTCACAAAATCCTCTGGTTGCCACTGGTCCTGGTGATTTTTCTTCCAGTTCGACGAGTTTTCTTTTGGAAGGCTGGCTGACTCCAGTTAAAAACCCCCACATTTCACCGCTAGTTTTAAAATGAAGCTAACCGCTAACTTGATAAACTGATTGAATGGGATAAGTGGAAATGACGTTGGATGCGGCGTGCAGGGGTTACTAAAGAACCAATCAGCTGGCAGAGCTGCTGGTGAACGTGTGAGTGTGCAGAACTTGTTAAACTATGTGACTCAACTTAAGGAACAAAGTAGAATCTGGCTGCTCTTTCTTTATTTTTTGTTGTTGTTTATAGAAACTAACTATATCTGCAGGGCTTTAGGCCCAGGGCAGTTTTAGACCTCAGACCAAACCACATCCAGACCTGTTATTAATAATATCATGTATTATAAAAAAATTGCAATATTACTTATAACATTATAAATAACAGGTCCCTCTGGGCTAGAACGTGTTTCTAGGAACAGAGGCTTGTTGGGTTAAGGTTGTGTAGCGACAAGAATGACCTCATATTTGTGACCCAAAGGTCACACTTTCCCAGCTGGGTCGAGCTGTAACTTTTGTTCTACAGATTACCCATCAGGAGCCGGGATGTCTGCTAAACACCTTCTTTATCTGCTGCTGCTCCGTCCCAAAATGAAGGACACTTCAAGATTTTAAAATAATAATTTTAAAATAATAGTTTAATAAACTGTTTACTGTTTATTACAATCATATAATAATCATCTTGGTTAAGTATAAATGTAGTTAATTACTGAAATGACTTATTACTCTTTGGGTTAATAATAATCATTATTTATGATAATCAGTAATGTGTGACCATCAACCAGAAGGTCATTGGCACGTGTACACATCATGCAGAGGGGCTGATCCAGGGTAAAGTTAACCACCTCACGTCTTTACTCCATAACATCAAGCTTTCTGACGCTGAGAAGGCGTGTTCTGAGGTTTTGCTAAAACCAAATCTCTGCAGCTGAAGTTCAGTTCTTGAACCATCCCAGAGGACGAGGGTTGGCCGCCTGACTCCCCACTATGCATTCTGTCACACCGATAGAATTGCTCCGAATAAACGCTCCTGTAACCAGCTAATGCAAAAGCTCCTTCAGAGTTATTGATTTTGAGACGCAAATAGTTTCATCGGTCGTTGTGACCCACGGAGACATCTCAGGACCGTTTAGTCGCACCGAGGTCCCTCTACCAACCTCGTGCCCGGAGGACATAATCTCCACCTGACATCTCGGATCCACAGAGGGTCTCCTGAACTGGGTGAGGTAGACTTCCCGACAGATGGCGTCTGTATGCTGTTCTCTCTGAGAAACCCTCAGTTAGCTGCAAAACAACATTTCACCCAGAACGCTTTCTCTCTCTGAAAGAAATCTTCTGAGATTCATTCACGCAGCCAAACCTTGCATTTCATTTTAGCTTTTCATTCACACACAGGTAAAGCTTTTAATAACAAGTTTTAATATAAAGCTGTTACAAATTGTAAGTTACAAATTGTAAGTTACAAATTGTCATGTTTCAAATTGTCATTTCTAAAAGTGTTAGTAATAAATTCTTAACTTTCTAAAACCTGACTCTTCTTTGAAGTGAAACACAGAATGGTGTATATTTGGTTATTGAATAAGCAAAGATTCCTTTAAGCTTCCGATTCAATAAATAAACTTTTGCTAAGACTTAATTATCTTAAATTAAAAATAAAAATTTGGATTAAATATAGACCAAGCTTGTTGGCGTATGAACTTCGATCGAATATATTAATATCCTAGATATTTATATATGATAGAAGCTTCATTTGCTAACTCGTTTGATCTTCTTCAGAATCTAACAAAGCTGATAGCAAACAGTGTTAATTCTAGTATGTAGTTTAACCACGCTACAGTTGGCAGCAGCTCACCTGTTCCTTCCTGATGCTGATGCATGCTTTTATCACCAGTACAATAGACTACTGTAATGCCCTGCCTTCTGGTCTGCCCAAAAAGAGCATCTCAGGCATACAACTTCTACAAAATTCGGCAGCACGTGTCCTGATGAAGACCAGGAGGCGGGAGCACATTTCACCAGTTTTAGAATCATTGCATCGGCTCCCGGTATGTTTCAGGATCAATTTTAAGGTTCTTCTAATGGTTTTTAAGTGTCTTAATGGTCTTGAGCCTTCTTATCTCTCAGAACTGCTTTTATCATATGAACCCTCACGGCCTCTGCTCTCCTCTGGCAGGCGTCTCCTGGTCATCACTAAAGTCAGGACACACACTCATGGTGAGGCGTCCTTCCATTAGTACGGCTCTCTCCTCTGGAACGAGCTGCCAGAGGACCTCAGCACCGCAGAGAACATTCATGTTCTTAAGTCCAGGCTCAAGACCCACCTATTTAAGTTAGCTTTTATCTAATTATTTATTATAGTTTTATTTCTCGTTTTACATGATTATATTTTATCACTGGCATTGCATGTTTTAAATGATTATATTTTAGCATTGCTTCATTATTAAATAATATAATTTTACAGTCTATATGATTTTATTTATAACAAATTTTCTTGCTTTTGTCATTTATATTAGCTCTTTTATTTTCATATTGTTACTCATTTTAATCCAGTGTTTTCTCTGTGGGGGCCCTCTGCCCCGGGGCGGTGGTCAACTGTAGCTTCCTGGGCGCTCTACAGGTAGTGTTTAAGTGGAGGTGGGGGTCTATGCTCCCCCTCCTCTGAGCGCCCTGACTTAGTCATTGTGGAAGACCTGATGCTGCCGGGGAAGATGGCTCCTTTGATGGTGTTTCCTTGCCTTACCTTACTCGGTTCATCTGGACTCAGCCGAATATACATTTTTACTGGTGTGTGTGTGTGTGTGTGTGTGTGTGTGTGTGTGTGTGTGTGTGTGTGTGTGTGTGTGTGTGTGTGTGTTACTGTTTTTAAACTGTTATGGGAATTTGGGGTCAATTTAATTCTGTAAAGCACTTTGAGTAGCACTTTGCTTGAAAAGTGCTTTATAAATAAAATCTGATTTGCTTTGATTTGATTACAGGAGAAATCCTCTCTTCAGCAGCAGCTGATCTACAGAGTAACGCCGGCCCAAAAGAAACAAAAAACACCAAATTCAAATACAGCAACTGGGAATGTCCACAGATGGGCCCTGGTTCTGCCCGCCATCCCCGTTAGACAGGAGCTGCTCATCACGTCATTGTGACACCAGAGCTGGCTCCGTAGGCACTCATTAGTGTGACTAGTGCCTACACAGTTTTCAGAATTAAACACACAACTTAGATCTGTGGCTCGTATAAAACCAAATCCAGAGTGCACCGCAAGAGCAAGCTTGTAATGACCTTGTGGATTTTTGACTCTTGGGCGGTGCAGAGCAGTGGGAAAACGCGTTTCAACAACAGAACCGACCGGAATACTGATGTAACACTGGTGCACAAAGCACCAGTAGTAACGTTTTTGAGATAAAACCTCCTCGGGTGTGACACCCACGGTGTTTCATTCACGGACCATTTCGCTGCCATGATAGCAAGGAAGTGTGTGTGGAGCATTTTGTCCTAGCGTCACACCTGAGCCTATGCTGGGGAAACACTGCAGGACATTGTGACAGCGGGAACTTTGCTTGAAACACAAGCTGTGATTAAATACGCAATTTTTTTGTCTGGTTTATTTCTTTCTAATTAATTTATCATAACAGTTATTTTTAGTTTCATAAGTTTTGTGTTAAATTATTTGTTAAAATTTTAATGCCCACCCCTCCTTCACCCCCTCGACTCTAGCCCTGATGTACGCCAGTATCTTTGGGAATGTGTCTGCCATCATCCAGCGGCTCTACTCAGGAACGGCTCGTTACCACACCCAGATGCTGCGAGTGAGAGAATTCATCCGTTTTCACCAGATCCCGAATCCTCTCAGGCAGAGGCTGGAGGAGTACTTCCAGCACGCCTGGTCTTACACCAACGGCATCGACATGAACGCGGTAAGTACTGACGCACGCACGCACGCACACACACACAGACGCGCACACACACACGCACGCACACACACACACAGATGCGCACACACACGCACACACACACACACGCACACACACACACACGCACACATACTATATTTCTTTCATTATAAGAAAATCAAAAGGTAAGTTCCCCAACTCTGCCCAGCTGGAGGGCAACTTTTTCAGCAGATAAGTTTTCCTGTTTTGTGCTGGTAAATTCTGCAGACCATCATGCATTATTGCAATGGGCTTTGTAGCAGCAGCAGCAGCAGCTGGATTAGGCTGGTTCAGAGCCACAGGAGTACCAATCAGTGAATATTCTTGTACACCGGCTCTCACGTCTCTTGCATAATTAATTTCATATCCACGTCAAGATTTGCCTCTGCAACATCTCTGATGCTGGATTTAGGGTTCACCAGGAGTGTGATCCTCCTGTAGTTGGAACATGACCTTCAGTCCCCCTTTTTAAATTTAGGGAACCGCCACCCCGGTGGAACTGCCCCCGATGTCCACGCGATATTGCAGAGCCGCATCAGCCAGCACAGCCCCACAACATCCAGAGCCTTAAGGAACTCCGGGCGGATCTCATCCACCCCTGGAGCCTTGCCACAGAGGAGCTTTTTAACCACATCAGTGACCTCAGCATCAGAGATTTGAGAGCCCAACTCAAAGTCCCCAGACTCTGCTTCCTCACTGGAAGATGTGTCGATGTGATTGAGGAGGTCTTCGAAGCATTCTGCCCATTGATGCACAACGTCCCAGGTAGGGGTCAGCAGAACACCGTCCCCACTATAAATAGTGTTGGTAGTGCACTGCTTTCCCCCCCTGAGGCACCGGATGGTGGACCAGATTCTCCTCAAAGCCGCATGGAAGTCTTGCTCCATAGTCTCACAGAACTCCTATGCCCAGATTTCTGCCTCCGGGACCACCGGAACCACATTCGTCTTGGACTGCCGGTACCTATCAGTTGCCTCTGGAGTCCCACAGGCCAAAAAGACCTGCTAGGACTCTTTCTCCAGCTTGACAGCATCCTAACCACCATCTACCAGCGAGTTACAGAATTTTGCAAGTTCTGTCGGACAGACAGGACCCGCCCCCCCACACTGCGCCTCTCAGTGGGAGCAACTCCAGAGTGGGAGAAACTCCCTCTCAAGGAAACTGGTTCCGGAGCCAGAGCCATGTGTAGAGGTGAGTCCAACTATATCTAGTCAGAACCTCTGAACCTCACACACCAACTCAGGCTCCTTCCCCACCAGAGGTGAAATTCCACATGCCATGAGCCAGCTTCTGTAGCCGAGGATCAGACCACCAAGGTCCCCATCCTCGACTACCACCCATCACACACTGCACCTGACCCCATTGGCCCCTCCCACAAGTGGTGAGCCCATGGGAATGGGGACCCATGCTTCCTCTTTGGGCTGTGCCTGGCCGGGCCACCAAGCGCTCGCCAACAGGCCTCACCTCTAGGCCTGGCTCCAGAACCCCGTGTGGGTGAGCGAACACGGTTTCCATTTATATTATTCATCATAGGGGTTGTTGGGCTGGTCTTTCTCTGATTCTTCACCTGGGACCTGTCTGCCATGGGTGACCATACCAAAGGTATAAAGCCTCAGACAACTTAGCTCCTAGAATCATCGGGATGCTCAAACCCCTCCACCACGGCAAGGCGGCAGCCCAGGGAGAAGTATATAAATATATGTATATATTGTAAATATTTGTATATAATTTTGTGGCTTGCTAAACCTGATCCCATCTTCTGCTGAGCATTTTTGGAAGCAGCAGAGATAAACAGAAAGTATGTAACTCCATTTTCAGCATAACAGCAATTTTACATGAAAAACATCTTAAGACATGCCTTGCATGTTTATGGAAAAAACTTGCATTTAACAGTTGTTTGATACATTTGACCACTGACCATGTTTTTTTGTGTTTTACTCACACCCATAGTTTTATTCTGAGTGCTGAAAATGGTTCGTTACAAATTTTGGTGGTTTTCACTGCAATAAATATGTAATGTTTTGTATGTTTTGTTTACTTTCAGGTTCAGTGTGTTAATACAGTATGAACAAAAGAAAAAATTTCTTTCATTCATTCATTCTTTCATTCATTCTTTCTTAATGAAAATGTATGCCTGTCTTATATGTAACAATTCGTAAGTGGTTACTTTTAATAAATTGTCAGAATATAAAGGTATTCAATTAAATGTAATATTCCATAAAATTATAGATTATCAATATTATTGAACCCTCAATATTTGAATGATGATGAAAGTAGGTACTTTGGGTATGCCTGGGAAACAACACTTTATAGTAATTTAACTCAGAAACAAAAATATAGTTTATAAAAATCTCACAACTGTCACGCTGAGAGGATGGTTAGGACCCAAAATGCAGATACCCAGGATGACACGAGGCAGGAGTTGATATAAAGAAAATCCTTTTATTTTAGGATGAGTCAAAAATAAAAATAAATCCAAAAAGGCAGGGAGCCAAAAACCAAAGATCCAGGAACAGGAGAAAAACTCACTTAGAGCACAGACTGGGAACGAGACCGGAAACTTACACAGAACACCAAAACACCGCTGACAAACAACAATGGACCGACAAGACACTGAGACAAGACAGGGCTTAAATAAACTGGGGCATGATGGGAGGCAGATGAGCTGCAGGTGTGTGCGGAGAGGACCAGGTGAAAGCAATACTTGATCAGGGAGGGAACTCACATGACCTAAGAAAAAACCTAAAAACAAGAAAAACAATCACATAACTAAAATTCTAAAGGGAAGGAGAACTACAAAGACTGGTGGGACAAAACATATAAAAGAGACTAATAAAATGAAAAAGCTGAAACTATAAACACTGCAGAGGGATGGCTGGCTGCAGAGGGGTGACTGGAGAAGACTAAAGGAACACAGGACCTGAGAGATATATTTGGAAGGCTGAAGACCAGGGGACAAATGAGGAACACAAAGAGACACATAAATGAGACGCAGACAAAGGACACATGAGGGTGCTATGAAACACAAAAGGAGAGCCTGGAGTGGGAACTGGAGGGGCTGGGGAACAAAGGGACACAGAACATGACAACAACCACTCAAAAGATGTTTCCCAGGTGGCTTCTGGGAGATGGTTTCACTTTTGATGAGTGGGTGGTGGAATGAGCAAATATAATTAATGATTCTAAAGGATGGTGTAGCAATTAAACATTAATTATGACCAATAAGATGTGATTATTCCATATAATATGAAACATCAACCTGATTGATCTTTGAATGTTTCATCAGAAGATTCTAGGGTTCTTTGCCTCTTCAGGGACCATAAACACACTTCGTATTAATTCAGACAGAGTCAGTATATAGTTTATAAAATGAATTTAATTCTTTTTCCTAAACTAATAATTTATACATGACAAGATATGAATAATGACATGTGATGTGATGGATGTGAGGTGTTGTGATGGAAGCTAGATGTTGTAGCAACCGTTCTTTGTATCTGAGAGAAATTGAGATTTAGTTATTGATTAAAAACCTCATCAGACACCAGTATGCAAGTCTATGATACCCTTGTATGAGTTGCTCCTGGCAGTGCGGAGGTTTGCGGTCAGAGTGGTGAGGTCACCGGATGTCGAAACCACGACTTCCTCTGAGTTCGGCTTCCCCGGCCATGAGATGCAACCCGGGGTCTGCAGATTAGGTGTCCAAGGTGGATGTCTGAGAGTTGAAGAAGCGATCTTCCACATAATGATCAAACAGAAGAAAAGGATGTATTGTGATGTAGTTATTTGGCCATATGGCCCATTCCTACTAAAATGAGTAATAAACCAGCTTTCATCAAGCCACCTCCATCCTTTCCATGTCCCTGCTTCCGCCCACCTGATTTACATATCTGCATGGCCTTCTCAGGAGGACACCAAATGCTACAGAAACCTGTTAATCACTCATTCATTTAGATCAGGTGTGTGGCAGCAGGGAAACATCCAGTGTGTGATTTGTGAAAATAGCAGAGGGCGGAGGTAATTTTTTCACTTTTTATTTATGAAAACGACAACATGCTTTTGTATGCTGATTGCAGGGTATTTTGTACCCAGGTTGTCTGCTTACGAAACTGACAGAGAAACAACATTAAAAGGAGAGTTACTGGGCTTACATGTCCCCTCACATTTCGAAGATTCACTTGCAGAAGCCCAAAGACGAAGGAGGTTTTGGCCTCCCAGTATTTAAACATTATTATTGGGCCTGTAAAGCCAGAGCCCGGGTTTTCTGGAATCAGCCTACAGCTGGTAACGCTGCGGAATGCAGACCTAACCCTTGATGGCTTGACATGGAGTTTAGCAATGCTACTGAGCTTGCTGGAGCATCCTTACCAGCTATCCTATTTTCAAAACCTGTCATCAAAAGTGTACCATTGCGTGACAATTTACCTCTTGGTAGTTCTATAAAAATTTTTAATCAAATCAAGAGAAATCTGAACTTCTCAGAGACGTCAATTCATATCCCAATCTGCCAAATTTCCTAGTTTCAAACCAAGTTCTATGGATATAGCCTTTAAGCAGTGGTCTGACAAAGGTTTAACTGCAATCAAGGACCTGTATATCGATAATCATTTTTGCTTCTTTCGCTCAGCTTCAGGCCAAGTATAATCTCCCTACAAGTCATTTTTTCCCGCTATTTACAAATTAGGAACTTTGCTAAGCAAGCATACTCATTTTTAGATACTATCCCTAAACAACATGACTTTTACAAGATAATGAGTGAGCCTCCTACCTGAAAGCACTTGATCTCTTGGCTTGTTAACCTTTTTTCTCTGGCAACACCATCTCGCCATATTGAGGAAGCATGGTCCGAGGATACTGGTTTGGTGATCTCAGATGGTTTATGGGCAAAAGGACTGAGCCAGATAAATTTATGCTCTGCCAATGCTCAACTTCAGTTAATTCAGTTCAAAGTACTCCATAGGCTACATTACTCTAAAGGTAAGTTGAAC